CATGCCCACACCTGGTTCTCACAGGAGACCATCTCCAGCAGAACCCAGCAGATGGGAAGCCACAGAGGAAGAAGTGCAGCAGGTTAGACCACACCTGGTTCTCACAGGAGACCATCTCCAGCAGAACCCAGCAGATGGGAAGCCACAGAGCAAGAAGTGCAGCAGGTTAGACCAACAAAACGGCCACACAGTCCTGCCCACGATGAAAAGCTGAGGGATGCTTAGAATCACCTTTTAACAGGCATTTAAGTGGGCATTAAGGCACATTCAGGCATTATGCAGTTCAAAAACATTAGAAAATGGATCATGGTAAAGTCCACATAGGTGGAACTTTTTGAAGTTCAGCTGAAGCTGAACATATTTGAAGACAATTTTGTGAAGAAGCAGGAAAACATCAGACTCCAACTGTTTGGGTGCCACCAACCTTGCTGTTGTAAACCCTGTTCACACAAGGCTGCAGGTCACCTCCCAGCACTCAAACTGCCAGCTGCGACAAGCAAAAAAACATTAAAACCATCAACAACCTGATGTCTGTTGGCTCTCAAGACCTGTTATTTACAGGACTTTGGGTGGCCTGGCAAGAAGTCACCTTTCCTGCTGGATCCCCAAGAGGTACCAGGTCCTGGAGGGGACAAACATACTGCAATTTAGGATAAATTTCAGGACTGACAAGACATAAGGAAGGGGCACAATTGGGGCAAATTCTGTACACACAGGACCTTCCTGGCAGAGTCCAGCCTCCAAGGGTTGGAGGGTGAACGAGAAGGAAACACGAAGCTTGAAGAATGACAACTGCTGGGAGCCTGCAGCCCTTTCCCATCCCTCACTCCAACACGCCAGTCACATATTTAACAGAAACCTAGATTTCTATCTTGCTGACAACTTTATTGCACGTTATTCTGGCAGGTAACCAAACCAGGATTGGCTCTTGTCACCTCAGCCGAGCTAGATTTTATCCTCCAAGATCCCAAAGATCCACAACCCACAGCAAAGCCTTCTCTTCCTCCTGGGGCTGTTATCAGGCTGTGGTGTCTTTACGACTTCTGTAATAACAAAGTACGAAGAGGAGCACTGAACAGAGGTCACCAACAGCCCTCTGCATCCTCTGCCCCACTCCCTGCTTGGAATAAAGGTCAGTAGGTCTCCTTCCACCCCTGCACACATATCCTGTCCTCACCACCCGAGGCTGGCCAGCCTCTCCCAGCAGCTCACTTAGTTTTCCAACTGCAGTCACACCCCCCCTGCTTTATCTGAACTAACCCTCATACCGCTTGGAGAGGTCTCCAAACAGCCGCAGAGTGGTGGATGAACAGGCTTGAAGGGCATCTTAACACCTGCAGGAGGACAAGAGCTCCAACTCCCTGCCCGCACGGGCACCCCAGTCCCCGGGATGGGCACGGCTGGAACTCTCCCCTCCACCTGCAGATCTTGCCTGTGTTCCACCACACACAACCCTGTGTTCATCCTCACAGCCCTGGGTGAACAAGGACTGTCCCACCATAGGTCTTGCTCATGTCCCATCACATACGACTCCATCTTCACCGTCACAGCCCTGGGTGAACAATGTCTGTCCCATGTCCCATCACACACCACCCCACGTTCACCCTCACAGCCCTAGGAGAACATCAACTCTCCCACCACAGCAGCTCCAGCTGGTATGAGAGAACTGGGAAACCATTGCTTTTATTCTGACACAGGAACAGCATTTCTCTCTCTCTCATCAGCTCAATATCCAGCTCCAACCCCCAAACAAGCAGCTGCTTCACATATTTGAAGTGTCTGGAAAGAGCAATAAAGCTGCTTTTCCTGAAAGACCTTGAACACCAGCAGGCCATGGCAAAGTCCAGGGGCGCAGCTGAGAACAGGGGCTGGAGCTCCGTCCCTGCTGTCCCCACCGCCCAAAAAGCCACGGAGGATGTGGACTGGGTCAGGTCCATGTCACTGGCATCTCTCCCACAGTCAGGCAATCAGTGGCCAGAAAAGGGGATGGAAAAGGCAGGCTGAATTTCAGCATTTGAAGAAAACCACGATTTGCATCTCTCAGAACAATCAGTGTAACTGCCAGGATCACCTCTCTCCTCCCAATAAATCATTAGCCCTGACTGTAAGCGCAGACACCCGCTGAGCCGCAGCGTTCCCGGGCTGTGCCAGACCGGCTCTTTATCTCACCCACATTCCTGCTGGGCACCAGAGAGAGGATGAAGTTTTCCAAGTCATCAGGGTTTCACTAAACATCACTTTCTTGAGCCTGGAGCACAATTTAAAGGCCTTTCAGTGAATCTAAGGCAAGGTTTGGAAAGGAAGATGCTCAGCAGGAGGCAGGTCTGCCTGGGGAGAACCAGCCCAAAAGACCCCAGACAACTGCTCAGGTGATGAAACCAGCATCAGGTTTGATTTTGATAGCCCTAAAGAGAAAAGGACATTGGTTTTACTGAAGAACTGCAGCTCCCAGCTCACAGGAAGTGTCTGCATCTGCCCAATTCAGGCCAAAACCGAGTTTCTGAAATCCCCGACATATCTACAAAACAGAACCCTTGGTTTTGGCCGGTTGCCTTGGCGACACACAGTGATCTCTTGGGAAGAAACCAAGGAATGTGTCCTCACACTGGCTCCTTCCTTTTCAGGCATCAACATGCAGCCTTATTACACAGAGTAAAAGCCACAAATATCCTCTAAGTTAGGAGTAAACAGAAATCTGTCCATCAGCTTTCCGCTGCCTACAGAGTCAAGCGACACTCCATGCTCACCACCTCCAGCGAGGAGAAGGGAACCGAAAGAAAACCTGGTATTTCTCCCACTTCGTCACCACATTTCATTTTACTCAGCAACTTGTGGCTCTTTACTACTTCTCCTTAAGCTGGAACTTATTTTCCAAAAAGACTCCCCCAATCTGTTTCAGCACCCGAGCCCTGCAGCATAACGGGCAGTTCCTCCTTCGCCTTTTAACATCTCTCTTCTCAGAAATTAGACGGCTGTGCAAGTTCTCACGCAGGACATCCCCCACGTACAGTTAATTCTCAGCAGATGCTGCTACAGTTGTAGGTGACACGCACAAGTATTGAGCACTCTTCATCTCCAGAGTGCCCACAGAGTGCTCTTAATGCCACTAAGCTGATAAGAACAGAAGCAGAGAAGCTACATTAATGACCTGCCCAATGTCACACAAATCCACCCCAGAGCTGACAAAACAGTCATCAACCAACTTCAAAGATTCATATGGTACTTTAGGTTAGGAAAGGACCTCTTGAGGTCTCTAGCCCAGAGTCCTGCTCCAAGCAGGTCCAACTGCATCAGTTGTCCAAGGCTCTCCCCGGGCAAGCTTCAAATAGCTCCTAGGATGAAGATGCCACCACTTCTCTGGGTTCCTGTTCCAGTGTTTGACCAGCCCTTAAACAATTCCATCGCTGCACTGCCCTCATCTTCATCTCCCTTCCTCCTCTTCGTGCAGTTTAGGAGTAGCTTCCAGCATGCAGCGCTTATTGTTTTTACTTACTTGAGCTTTATTTTATTACTTTTGCTTTATTCTGTTACCAGCAAGGCTGCTGCCCCAACAGCAACCCCTGCACAGGGAAATCCACTCCAATGGCTGCAGCAGAAACTGGGCTTATCTAAGAGAGGCTGCCCTGCAAGGTTTTGTGTGTATTTTCCGCTCCATCCCAAGGTTACCCATAGCTGTAACACGCCTTCTTGCTATTTGCACCATTTATACCACACACCTGATGTGGTGTGAATCCGATTAATACCCCAACCTGCATGGAGCAAAGAAAACAGCTGGAATGAGTGCAATCCAGCGGGCACGTAAACAGCACAACAATTCCAGTGTGATTAAGCATTTCCTTGTACAAGGACAAGAAAACACCACAGGAGCACTGAGCGAGAAGCAACACTCCTGCTTATTCTGGATCTCATGGAGCTCATGCTCCCAGATCTGCTACCTGCCTTAGTCATCATTAAATTAACACAGATTGGGTGCTCTTATGAAGGAATCTAACAATGTCAAGCCGTGAGGAACAGCACTCCCTGCCTCCCTCCTAAATGAGATGCACCCTATTCAAAGGATTTCCTCAAATTATAATGCTCAGTGCCTCAGGCACCTGTGTGGATTCAGTCCAGAAAATATTTAGTCGAATTTAGGTAACGGAACGTAAAACAAATCTTCCCGCTATGGAAAAACATGTCCCGTCACAGACCTAGAAATGGGGAGTTGTCACCTCACTGGGCTGCTTCCAGAGCCCAACAATTCACACTTATTCCTCCGGTGCAGCAAAATAACCCCATCTTTCAGCATGAATGTGTCTTTATCACACCCAGACGCGTTTCACCACGCCATACAAAGATTAATTCTTAATTTAAGGCTCACAAGGATCTAAGTTAGATCCCAAGCAGTGAGAAAACCTGACACTCCCTCCAAAGACGCTTGGAGCAAACGATGTCCCACAGACCTTCAGCGATGCCACCACACATCCAGAACGAGCAGCCAGGTGGTATAATCCTATCAAGGGGAGTTAAACTGTTGCTGATCTCTCTCTGCCTAATAGAGACCTAATTCTTGAGCCTCTATCAATAGATCACTAATGCGGGGAAGACGCCAGCCACTGTACTGTGTCACAAGCCGGGCAGTGAGCATGAGGAACCTCAACCTGTCCAACACTGAGCAGACACAGCGAGCAGGGCTGGAGAGGGGGCAAGTCCACAGCCCTTCAAACCATATGACTCACCTCCAGTTTCTAAATACCCGACATATTTCGCTCTCTGTTATCACACCTCCGAGAAGTGACTGTGGGAGATGCCCTGCAGTTATAACAGGTCACATCCCACTCCCATCTACTCCGTGGACCAGCACCATGTGCCCCCTCCCCGAGGACAAGCCTCTGGCTCCCAAAAGGACCAGAAAAATGCTGCCCATCTTCCCACCCAGTGCCCCGTGGAAAGACAAGCCAAAAGTAGTCCCAACTACTTCCAGTCTGACCATTCAGCACAGAGACACCCCAGGCAGTTACCTTCTTGCGGCGGGAGCCCGTCTTGCTCATGCAGGACCTCTCCAGGGACAGGTATCCCCCGATGACTTCGATCTCGTTCACAGTGGGGTAGCGCTTTTTATGGGACACCCCCGCTTGGGGCCCATCGGCGTTCTCCACAGCTTTGCCTTTGCTCTCCTCCTCCTCTTCCTCCCGCTGTGGCCTTCCACTGGCATCAGCAAGAGTCTGCAGCCCCGAGGCAACGGGCTTGCTTTTGGGCACGACAGTGAAGGTGTTGCCTCCCCTCTGATGGGGGACAGAGTGGGGTCTGTAGAGGGGCACGGAGGAAACCTCCATCTCCACATCAGGGCTGGCTCCTCCAGGCTGACCCGCCAAGCTCCCCGTCCTCGCAGCCGAGCGGGACCTGGGGGAAAGCTCCCCGCTCTCCGGCTCCACAATGTCATCGATGAAAGTCACAGGTACCGAGGGTTCCAGAGGCGCCGGCGGGGAAGCGATGGGCTCCTCCTGCTCTGGGGTGGAAGCCCTCGGGGGCTCCTTGGGTGCCTTCTCCTCCGAGGGCGGTGGCGGTGGCCCCGGCCTGGCGCTCTGGGTGGGGGGCAGAGCCTGGCTCCCCTCCCGGCGGGGCACAAAGACGAAGGAATTGCGTGAATTCAGGCGTAGCTTGGCCAGGGTTTGGGCCTGCAGGTCGTGGGCTGGGATGGCAGCCAAGTCGGGCTTGGGGGCCGGGTGGATTTCAAAGGAGCCCCCGGCCCGGGGGGCAGAGGCGGAGAGCGGCTGAGTGGAGCCGGTGGCACTGGGGGCCAGACTGGCACTGGGCGGGGGGGACACGGCCGCTTCGGCCTCCTCCGGCTTTGGCCTCCTGGCGTTGGCTCTGGCATGGGAAGGGCTGGCGGATGGCACTGGCGGCCCCTTGGGTGGTGCAGGGCGGCCGGCAGGGACGGCACCGGACTCGGGGAGGCGGCTGCCGGGGGGCAACCCCCGGGGGGTGACGGTGAAGGAGTTGGAGCCGATCTTGTGGAGAAAGCAGTTGGCCTGGGGGGCTGCAGCTTTGGGGGCAGCTGGCACCGCC